TCTCTCTCTCTCTCTCTTTCTCTCTCTCTCTCTCTTTCTCTTTCTCTTTCACTCTCTTTTTCCTTCTCTTTCTCTCTCTCTCTCTCTTTCTAGACAAATTGATTTTCCAACAGCTTTCATTCTGGAATATATCAGTGCACATTACATATCATGGATATATGTTAAACAGATATATAGACGGACAGCTTAAATAAATGTAGGAAATAATTTTATTAAAATAATAACTTGGAAAATTTTGATCTGTAGATTGAACACAAACGCACAGCTGTAGATTTTAAGCGGACAGACGCTGAGACATGCTTATATTGATGCAGAAAATGAACCGAACCAGAGAAAATAGTGTAGAGTGCAAAAAAATTCGAAACCATCGCTAATAGGTGGTGACAATGTATGAAATTTATGCAAAATTATGAAAATTGAAATGCATACACATATCGACAACAAAATTTTATTGATAATTTATCGAATATTTAATATATAACACTTAGTAGTGTTTTACTAATACTTAGAAAAGTAAGCACGTACACACACGTACGTAGAAACATATACAGATATACAAACTCTAAATAAAATGTCGCCTAATTTGAAAAACTAATAACCGCTGATAAACAATCGAACACATTTATATACATATAAGCATAAAAATCATAGGGGATATGATTGAGTGAATGAAAACAAATCATTCATTTATCAGTTTAGCAAAACAAGTACAACATGAACATCGTAGCCTACATGCAGTATAGCGTAGCAGATGGGGGGGGGAGGGATGTGTATGTGCATTTGTGCAAAATAAACATATAAATATTAACTGAATTTCAGAAATTCAGTTAAATTATAACATAAACTAGTATCGTCAGGCCTTCATAGGCCTGTGATGCAAAATTTGCTCTGTACGTGCGTATGTTTTTTTTTCTTCTCTTTTTTTTTTGTTTTTTGCTTTTATGTTTAATGAAAATTTTTAATTATAATTTTGAATTATCGATGCGAAATTAATGTTGCGGTTGATTATTTTGTTCTGAATTTCGCTTTCAGTTCATATATCTCTACTGCTCCGTATATAGTGTTGTTTGGCGGGTAATGTATGCCTTTTCCTCTATACATTAAATGAAGCTTTAATGTCTTGTTTTTGGTTGATATGCACTTGAAAAATAATACATATACATCTATATATATATATATATACATATATATATAATAGGAAAAATATAGTGAATAGTGAATAGACAATAAGAGCAACAATAGCATCAAACATTATAATGCAAATTGATCTATCATAACATACGAGGATAATATGATAAATGCTTATCTAATATGGATAGATGGCTAAAAAATCTCAAGACCTTTGAAGCGGCAAAAATTCTTCATTTTCTCATACTTCCAACAGATGATGAATTAATGCTTTTTGCTAATATTTGTGTAATCTTCTTCTTGAAGTTACAAGGATTGTAAGAGTAAAAGGATGAGGGGAGAAAAAGAATTTTCCAACATTTTAAATTACTTTTATTAAACTAAAATCCCTGTCATTTGTGCTACTGTGGCGATGCTTCGAGAATTTCTGCATGAATAACGGAATAAAGTGATTTTCGCCAAGGGGATGCCATGCGGCGTTAAAATTGAAATTTCGAAACCGCCAACGAACTTGTAAACATTTATCACTTTAATTGCTATGATATCGTGAAATTTTAATTCATCTCCTAAAGCCTAATTTCCATCCAAACGAACGATTAAACAAACGAGTATTACATTCCTTGATGGGGTGAAATTTCAAAGCCTATCTTTTTGACGAAAACTTTTTTCTCTTTTCAAAATGCAATGAATCAACTTGCAACACTGTAAGAAAAAGGCAGTTTCATGGAAATGCTTGTTTACCTTATGCATAAAAGCCGTAAATTAGTTACCCTTCATATGTATAGAACACTGAGTGCACTGAACTTCAATTTAAGCGATTATATAACGTTCAACACTAACTAAGAGATTTCTTTGCCAAACATTTGCTTACCAGTCGTCATACACGTTTCGGCTTTACTGAAGAGTCATCAATCAGACTTGGCAGACTGGTTAGTGGTCCTTGGTGCAGCAAAAGACCAGCAGCGAAGTGCACACTACTCCATTTGCTGTTCCTAGCTAACCCTTACCTGAAAACATCACATTTTTCAGAGAAACCTGTTAACTGATTTTTGATGAGAAAAATTAAATAATTTTGATTCGATCGATAGATATATATATATATATATATATGGCTATGCGGCATTATTGGATATGTGGCATTTTGTGATAAAAGTCCATTTCTTGGGAGAAAAGTTCATTAATTTTATATATATCACTTTTTCACTAAGATCAGATCAAGATAACTCTATCCGGGTTCTTACTTTAGGCTTATATTGGATTAATACTCCGCGACCCTCAATGACTTTAGTCATCGCAATTAGTCGTGTGGTTGACGAAGTGAGAGAAAAATTAATGTGACAAAAGTGATAGAAATTATTTGGTATTTCAAGTCCCCCGAGACGACGATCACTTACATGAAATCATTTTTAAATCGAAATGTCATAAACTAATATCTAAGTTAAAGCCGATACTATGTTAATTAATTACAAATTAAAAAAGCGAAGCACATCTTCCGAAAATTAGCAAATTAAACAAATAAGAAAATTATATTCGTCGGGGGCCGATACTCGCATACCCACGACTATATACTCCTATTATTGGATGGTGGTGGGTGTAAAAACTCGTATCGAAAATTAAAATGAGAGAAAACAAAAGTTTTAAAAATTTTCTTTGATGACAAAAATATGAATGGCTTACGAAAATCTATTGCAGTACTAACGTTTTAGAGAATCTATTCTCCGAGAAGAGAAGAATGAAAAAAATTCCAATTCAATCCATTTTTCTGCTAAGTTCCTGCCCTGTGTAGTGTTACAAGAGCTGTAGAGAGATATTCAATTGAAGGCAAACACTTAAAAACCGCAATATTTTTTTTCTCTTCTTCTTATTGTATTGCCCTCGTATATTTATAGAATCAAATATAACAAACGAATGATTTTTGAAAAACAGTTTCAAGTACTTTTTCAGAATGAATTCACATTTATGCTTATATGAGTGCACATAAACCATATATATATATATATATATATATGTAAATACTTATAGAGAAAAAGATACATGTTATATGATACATAAACAAAAAGGGTTAAGGTTGATTATATATACGTATATATAAATATATTATTTATTACATATATACATAGGCAAAAAAAATAAACAAAAGAATATATATATTCCGTTTTACATATATATACATATACCGAAGGTTAATATCGACAAAAGCGCTCAAAAAGTACAGAGAGGGAAAGAGAAGAATCTGTTGTCTATCAATATATAATAATCCTATTATTGGGATAAAGGAAATCTATTTTAAGAATTTTATAAATTGAAAAAAACATGTTTTTTTTCTTTGATTTAAATGAAAACTCAATTGCAAGGAAAGTCTCTCTCGTCTTCGTATGGCCTACAATCAATGTTTCATTTTCCCAACTTCTCTTAAAATCGCGGCTATCAAATTGATGCATGTTATATAACCCTTACCGCTTATTGACCAACACCCCAACCACTAAGCTGCAGCCATTTCCATCTTTTCCACTTTACACACTACATCGCTTGAATGATGGAAAAAATAAAAAGCAAAAAAATGAAATTTTTTTTTTTATTTATTTTTCTCCGAGACAAACAAAATATGAAATTTACTAATTATTTATTATTCTGTTAAAACAGGTGAGGCTTCTGGAGGTATTAGCCGTGACGATTTTATCGATAACGTAGCGGCCGGTATATTGGAAAAATTGCCGGCAGCTTTCGAGACTTGGCGCATTAAAAAGCAATTGCAAATGTCTCTCACGCCTACCGGCGTTGTCCTCCTACAAGAATTAGATCGTTTCAATTTATTGGTGATACGTATTAAAAAAACTTTGGAACTTTTAAGAAAGGTAATCAAATGCAAGAAAAATAGGGAGGAAAAAAAAAAGGATTTTTTTTTTTTTTTTTTTTTGATTTTCTTCTTCGTTACGCAAACGACGAATGAAGAAAGATGAAAGAAGTGGTTACGTTAGGTATGGTGACGAAATGAAATGAAATGAAATCATATAAATGCAAATGCAACGACATAGTCGGAGTGGTATCCTATAGTGACAACCATCGCTCTCTCTCTCTCACTCTCTCTGTGTATATGCATGCATTTTAACAACGTATTCATGCATGAATATGTATGAAATCGAATGCTGCTGCTGCTGCTGCTGGTGCTAGTGCCTGGTGTAAGGGTGAAGTTGAAAGTTTGAAAGAAAAAAAATTATAAAGAAAAAGAACAAACAAAAAAAAAGAAAAAAACAAAATGAATAAAAAAGAAGAAAATTAAAAATAAAACGAAATGTAATGAGAAAATATTCCGGTTTTCCGTTTTTAATTAAAGTTTTCATATTAAACCTTTTTTCTAGTTTTTTTCTAGTTTTTTTCTTTTTTTTTTTTTTTTGATTTTTAGAATTAAATGCAAAGACAAAAAACCTTAAAAAGCGGAATTATACATACAAAAGTCCTGAGGGATTTGTTAGCATGATTTATTGCCTGGAAATGAGTACAGCAATCGCAGTAACAGCAGCAGCAGCAGCAACAGCAACAACAAAAACAACAATAACAATAAAACCAAAAGAAAAAAGAAAACAAATTTGCTCGCTTGAACATGTCTCTGTCGCATATGTGCAGTGGGCGCAAACACACACACACACACACACACACACACACGCACCCATTCAATTCGTATATAATATTTGATATTTTTTGCCTCTGCCCGCGATCGAATTCACCGCCTCGTTCCCTTATAGAATAATGAATTATTTGTTGTATGTTATAAATTTTTATTTATTTATTTATTTTTTTTTTTTTGTTTGTTTTTTGTTTTCATGTTTTGCCTACTCAGGCGTATGAGTAACATTAAATCTTTGTTTGGCAAATTTTCAGTATAATTATATAGATTTTTCCCTAGATTTGTTTACATAAACGAACAAATAAGATTAAACATGTCATGACTTATGTCACTTAAGGGTATCCATGCATATATAAATATATATATATATATATAAATATATATATGTATATATGTATAACATACGCATATTGTATGCAATTGTTGTTGATTTAGGAGCTTTAACGTATTAATATACTTTCGTATGAAAGCCAAAGCCAAAGCCAAAGCCAGAGCCGAAGGCGAACCTGAAGCCAAAAAGAAGGCACAATTACGCCCTCTCTAAAAATTCGCAAAATTTATTCTTTTTATTATTGTTGCTGTTGTTGATATATTTGTTGTTGTGTTTTTTTTTTTTTTTTTTTAAAATACTTGGGGATGATATTTTTATACACATGTTGGTGGCAGCTGTTGAATCACAACCAAAAACAAATAAATTATATAAATATATATATATATATATATATATATATATATATGAGCATATAGATTACAATATTTGAAGGCTTCTCTATCTGTCTGCCTATCTGTTAGTCCGTCTATCTGTCTGTCGGTAAAATTGCAATTTATGTCACCACAATATTGGATGCATTTGCTAAATGGCAAAAAATGTGAAAATAAAAATTATACTGATTTTCTATATTCTTTCTCTGCTTTTTGTTTTTGTATTTAGCTTTTGTTGCTCACAATGTTATCATTTTTATACTGATTATACAGCCCACGGCTTTATAGTCAAGTTTTACAAGTGAATGAATTGTTATTCGTGCTGCTGCTGTTGTTGTTAGTGTTATTGTTCTTGTTGTTGTTAAAACGGCGCCATAAAGACACTAAATGTCATGTTTGTTATATGTTATGCATGGCAAAATGTAATGTAAATGTTGTAAATATTCAGTTCAGTTCAATTTTCATTGTGTTGGCATTATCAACCAATACGACTACTACTACTACTACTATTACTACTACTACGATTATTACCACTACTACTACTACTACTACTACTGTTACTACTAACTGCTACGACTCTCTACATATGTATATATATATATTTCCTGTTTGTGTGTATATATGCCTGCGTAACTTCTTCAACTCAATTTATACATATATATAAGTATATATACATATGTACGTGTATGTATATATGTATAACATCTTTAATTCAATTTGCCTTTGCATTTGCATCTTTTTTATCCCTTTCGTCTTTTCATTGTTGCGAACACTATGGATTAAAACCCATTATTATTATTATTATTGCGGTTGTTTTTTGTTGTTGTTGTTGTTGCTGTTATAATTATTCAATATTTTATTTCAACGTCTTAAGGCTATAGCTGGTGAAATCGGTATGGATACGATATTGGATAATATCGGCAATTCGTTATTTAATGGTTTACTGCCAGCGTATTGGAGTAAATTGGCTCCAGCTACTTGCAAGCAACTCGCCAGCTGGTTGGAACATTTACAGGTAACGAAATATCATTTATATTTCATATATACTGACATACAAACACGTACACACACACACACACACACACACACACACATGCGCGCAAATGCGCACGTGCTGACATCTACAAGATATAAGAAATCATTTATTAAATGGATTTGTTTTTTTTTTGTTTTTTTTTTTTTGCCCCCAACCGACATCATTGCCTTTTGATCATAAATCAATCATCAATCTTTATTGTTACTCATCACTAGTAATGCATTTTCATATTTCTTCCATCGTTTATAGGTACGTACAGTCGACTCCCCTATAACATGCGTAACTAAAAGACGCATTCGTATAACAACATAGATAAAAACAAAATTGCGACCATTTTCGTATAACACGTTAGAAAAGGTTCGTTTAATTCGGTTAAAGAAAGAAAGAGACAGAAAACATATATTAATATATATTTACATATATCCCTATTTCTCTGTCTATCTGTTCTATCGCGCTCGTTACGAGGTTAGGTGAAAGAGGCTCGGTTAAAGAAAGAGAGAGATAGAAAACATATATTAAAAAATATTTATACATCTCGTTCTCCCTCTTTCTATCTATTCTACCGTACTCGTTACGAGGCTCGGTAAAAGAAAGAGACAAAAAATATTTATACATTTCTCTCTCGCTCTTTTTATCTATTCTACCGTAATCATTACGAGGTGAAAGGTGAATCAGTTAAAGGGAGTGAGTTAAAGAAAGAGACAGAAAACATATACTAAAAAATATTTATTCATTTCTCTCTCCCTCATTCTATATATTCAACTTTGTTCGTATAATATTCGTATAATTCGGTGAAAGAAAGGGACATAAAATATGTATTAACAAAACAAAACTCACTCCCCCGCTTTCTATCTATCTTGTGACAAAAAAAAAACATTTATCGTTCAATGGCCACGAAAGTTGTTGTCACACATTGTCTTAAACTGTATTATTAAAGAAAATTATTTTTCATATATATGGCAAATGAGTTAATCACTTTTAACGGTGAAAGGCTAATGCCCTAATGTCTAATCGGAGGGATTCATATAAAAACCGGAACGACGGATCGTTGTGTTATAAAAGTGTCGACTGTATAATCGTGTCTATGTATATATATATATATATATATATATATATATATATATATATATTTGCATGTATGTATATGTGTGTATACGTGTGGCTGTCGAATAATGTGTTTGTGTGTTTTATGTCATGTTTTTCAATATTACTTTTTGCCTTTTTCTCGTTCCCTTCTTTTTTATTTTTTCATTTTTTTGTTTCTTTTCGTACCTTTAGCAACGTAATACGCAATTCAAATATTGGTCCATGTCAGGTGAACCTTTAGTTATGTGGCTTTCCGGTTTGCATATACCGCAAAGTTATTTAACCGCTTTAATACAGGTATGTGTTATTAATACAAATTTGTATGTCATTAATTATTGTATTTATTCAATGGAGTTTTAATGGATTTTATATATATATATATATGTACAGATGAGAATTGATTTAGGGCAAAAAGTAATCATAGTAGGGCACTATGTAGAAAAAAAAAAATTGGAATATTTTGTTTAGTCCTCGCGTCAGTGCGTTTTTGCGATAAGCAAAGCGATATTAGTTCGAGAAGAATGCGTGAAAGTGTACATTCTCTTCATATTCTGATAAGAAGGATGGTACGGTTGTCCATCAAACCATTGCACTTCTTCCAGATTTTGTTAAATACTGAATAAATAGCTTTTGTAATATATTAGTGACTGACATAATGACTGAAAACTTGTTGTCACACTATCCGCCACAAATTGGCGCGAACGTGCGCACGCGTGTAACGCTTAAAATGACTTGTGACATCTACTCGCCTCCACCTTTTTCAATCAATTACCTTGTAAATTGTTTTAACACTAGATTTAGGGACGTACGGACTGAACCCGTTTTTTTTTGTAAATTCAACTTCTTATCCTTATTTTTGCGACTGTAACGATTCACTAACCCTAACTATCTATTTGAGGGGCTTCGGTTAAACAATAGCAAAGTGGGTGTATTGCGGAAAAAAACTGTTTTTCAGACTATAAGGACGCACTTCAAGTCGGATTAGAAAACTTCGGATTAAAATTTTTATTTATTGTTATACATAAGTCGTGCTAAAAATATTCAGGTCATCTTCACTCTCGGCGCTAACACTCGCCACCATTCACATAAGTTTCATCTGAAGTATTGTTGTCGTATTTCACGTGCCTCGAATTTAGAGACCCATTTATTGAAAAGACCCAACCAAAATTTGAGTCCACATTCCTATCTAAAAAGGTTCGTCCGAAAAATACGGTATATTTCCTGCATTAAATCGTTAGAAACCAATCTAAGGAAAAGAATTTGATCTACTTTCTTATGCAGGATTTTTTAGCTTGAAATCACAAGCCCGTGACCTTGACATGTGTCGTAAGTTTTGAGCTAAGTTTGTTTATCTGTTTGTCTGTCTGTCTGTCCGATGTCTGTCCATGAATTAATGTATTCCATCTACAGGCCGTAACTTTCTCTCGAAGCAGGGGCTGGGGTACCATTTGATTAGGTTAAATTATTATTATGATATAATTGTCATGGTGAAGCCTTGCTCGGCACTTGACTTTTCAGCGTCATATATAGAGTGATCGAAAAAGTAGATCAATACTGTTCGTCCTAGGGTCAAAACACGGAACTCTACCGCATTTCATCAAAATATATTCAAAAATTGCGACCTGCAACTTGAATACATATTTACATGAACAGACATCAGATGGACAGACAGACAGGCTTAGGTGTAATAAAAGATGAGTCTATCTTAAGCTCATCTGCGTGTTGCATATGTCCGCACTAGCTTAGTACACCCTATGCCACAAGTAGTGTAGAGCATAAAAGCAAAAGTGTATATGTATATATGTGCATATGTTTATGTAAGGTAAACAGTTCAGTCGCCTTAGCCAGAAGGGCGTTCGTAATTAATTATTAAAAGTCATGTGATGGCAAAAACAGCGCACATCTATATTTATATATGTGGGTTATGGGTCATGTTAAAAAGTCGCCGCACCTTCAAGCTTCCTTTTGTAGCCTGCTCTTTTCAAATGATTCCAAACTATCACGTGGTTGATGTTTAGTGGCTCCACTATTTCCTGACAACTTGCGTGCTGGTCTTGCTCTACGAGTTGCAAAATTTTATCGACTCTTTCAATGACCACGCGGTGCATCTTTGACAGCGACATTTTCATTCCTGGGTCCTTTGTTCCCTGACAGCATTCTTCAGATATTTCATTCGTTTTCAAAACAAAATATAAGTTTTTACACGAGCAAGGAGTTAGAAAACTATCTTCGCAAACAAGGTAAGCTGAGATGTCACCATTTAAGCACATGTTCGTTTGAGACAATCAGATGAGTTTTGCCCGATATATGGGCATCGATACCATTCAGCTTAAAAAAACCGCAGAGAATAACGTACAACAATGACATAATCTATATAGATGTATATGTATATATGTGCCTTTGTATGGATGTATGCCATTAACAACTAAGAATATGAAAACAACGAGAGAAAGAAGTTTTCCATGAAAGCAAAATTCCTTCAGGATGGAATAAAAAATTTCTATAATAAAATCCCTTATGTGAATCCTTTATATGAAATATAGTAATTCTAAATAGTGAGCGATATATATATATATACATATACATATATATATATATATTTTTTTTTTATATATTTTTGTAGATGGCTTGTCGTAAAAACGGTTGGCCACTGGATCGTTCTATTATGTATACTGAAGTTATAAATATCATCGATTGCGATGATATTGAAGAACGACCACCGACTGTAAGTAAATTTTTGAAAAAATCATATATGATAAATAGAAGAGTTGTGCTTGGTTTCCCTCCTAGGGATGCTATATTCAAGGTTTATATATAGAAGGTGCTCGTTGGGATATGGACAAAATGGAATTGGGACGTTCGCATCCAAAAATATTGGTTGAAGATTTACCGATTTTATCTGTTATACCCATAGAGGCACATCGGGTTAAATTACAAGTAAAACTTGTTTACTTCACACACACACACACACACACATTAAAACAATATTTAAAATTTATCTTCCTCTCTCTTTCTCTCTCTGTCTCTCTGTCTCTCTCTCTGCAGAATACATATCGTTCACCGGTTTATACCACTTCCCTAAGACGTAACGCTATGGGTATTGGTTTAGTTTTTGAAGCGGACTTGGCAACTACTGAAGATTTAAGTCATTGGGTTCTACAAGGCGTTTGTTTAACCTTAAATCGTGATTAATTGAAAAATACATCCTTTTTTTCTAAATTGATTGATGAATTTTTTTTTTTTTTTTTTTTTTTTGCTACTGTGTGTGTGTGTATAAAAAAAAAAAAAAAAAGGAAGGAAAATATTAATAAAAAAAAGCCTTTCGAAGCTAAATGAATTTTATTTTTATTTTTTTTGTTTTTTAAAATTTTCAATTCTATTAACTGTTATGCGGGAAACAAAAACATCCGCTTAACTGATCGATAAATGATTTTTTTAAACGTGGCGTTAATAATTCTAGATTTTGTGAATCGTTCGATTCTAAATCCGAATCGATAATCATTTCCTGTATACTAAAAGTATCGCTAAGTTCTGGACATTTTTTATTCATACGTTGTTTACGTTGTTCATTGTGCGGAAAAAATGAAACTTCCTCGCCATCGTCGCTAAAAAAAAAAAAAAAAAAAAACGAAATTTTATTTAATTTTCTTCCACAAAAACATTCATCATAAGTCTTACCTTTCACTATTGTAATCCACTAAAGGTTTGTGCTGACTCTCGCCCGGTATTGGTAATCGGCTAATCGGTATTAAGGTAGATGATTGAGATTTTCGTTTCTAAATAACAAGCAGAATATGAGATAAGTTTTAAAATTGAAAATATAATATGAAAAAGGCTGGATCCTCCCTTCCTTCACTATCCCACCGGAAACTTACATTTTCTTCTTGATATTGATTGTAATTACGTTTAGCTCTTTCCACTTTTAATTCCAATTTACGTTGTAATATTCTGCAAGTATTTGGTGGCTGTATGTGATCTTCAATGTCACTGTTGCTGTCATGCTGATGATGATGATGATGATGATGATGATCTACAATTGATAAATCTTTCGACGCTTTATACATAGTAGCGCATGATTGCGTGTTTTGGCAAATAGAACCTTTGAAGACCACTTCCAAATCAGCCATATGCTCGGATGTTTCATTTGTAAGACGTAGGTCCGTAGTTGTTGTTGTTAACTTTTCATTTATTTACAGGAGCGAAAAAAAAAAGTAAAAAGTCAAATATTAAAAAGAAAAGCAGAAGAGATTTGCATGCAAGTATCACACAAAATTGCTTACCATTTCATTATCTTCGTTTATTAAAGAGGGTTTATCCTCGCTTTCTATTCCACTATCCTCTAGGAAAGGCATTCTCTGTATATAGTTAAAAATGCTTCAAAAATTTCCTCCTTTTTCTTTTTAACAAAAATTTATTCTTATTTACACATCTATATATATATATATATATTATTTTTTTATTTTTTTCCAACACGCATGTGCTTTTATGGAAAACAGCTGTGCCTTGATGGATTTTGCTTTAACCGTTAGAAAAATCAATATTTCTCACAGTGTTGTTATATAAAAGGTTTACTTGTTGTTTAAACAAAGTACTTTTTTTTTAGTTAAGAAAGTACTTTTTTAAATCTGGTTTGGTATTTTAATGCAATTGCTAACGGTATGTTGATAGTTTTAGTCATAGTCCAATCACGGTGAGCCCTTGAGATTCATATGAATTTTGATCTTCTTTGATTTCTTCTTCTTCCTTTGATCTTCATTTCGATTATTTCACTTGCATTCACCAAAAAAAAAAAATTGTTTTTTTGACTTTCCTTTAAATTAACAATTAAGGGAAAGAAAAAAAAACAAATTGGAAAATTCGTAGTTAGCCATAATCTCTAAAAGTAAGGAAAGAAAGGATTACTTTTTCGTTTCACTAACATATTTTACCACGACGAGTCTTATAGTCTCACAGTTAAAAGAATCCCCGGAAGAGCGCAATGGGCTTCAAACTTGCGACATGGATGGGTTAAGAAACTATGAATACCAATTAAGAACCATGCAGCCATTGCACAATTAATCATTTCTTTAGGAGCCATAAAGCTTATGTAGAACGGCAATGTCCTTTGTAATATCTGCTTTAAACAGTATGCAATCACTTTTCTCCTTGCGGGCAGGTTGGTCTTGAAAATGGGTTACATCGGACGAAGGACACAACTATAGTGCAAGATAAACTGAGAACATCTCTGCTTTCTGAAGTTTTAGTCCAACCAAGTTAATGTTGGAAAAACAAGACTACTTCCTGACTGTGAGACTGTAAAGCTCATCGTGGTATGATTTGTTATAAAAACACGTAATTGTTCATTAAAAAAAACAAAAAAAAACCGAGAAAACAAGAAGAAAAGTATATTCGGTTGTGACCGAATCTTTTGCACCCATCGCCGTTATCCCAAAAAATACAAATAAAGTGAAAGAACTAAATATTTATAACTAAGTGAGCGAGGAACGGTCTAAACGTCTCCTTTGAAATGTGCAGATCGCTTCCAACTTTTTTTTATTGGAAACTTGAAGCCGGGAGCTTCAACTTTGCGACCAGGACAATGTGTACAGGAGACATTACACAGACTGACAGACGGATATGCTTAAATCAATTCAGAATTTGATGCTGATCAAGAAAATATATACCTTGCTGCGCCCTTCGCATAAAATACATCTCTCGTCCTTCGGTGATGGGTCTAAATACAGTATTAGAGCACACACAGGTGTTTGGCACTGCACAACTAAGATGGAAGAATAGTCAAAACAGCAGACTGGAAAGCAGGAATTAATTTCAAAGAGAGCGATGAAGGTACCTACTTTCGTCAATAAAGCTACGGCTTTAACGACAAGTATTGAGCGAACTTATTACAATATTTGAGTGAAGAAATTAAGCAAAAAATTATCAAATTTGGCTAAAAAAAATGTGTTGGCCTTCACTGCCGTGAAGGGAGGGATACATCTCATATATTGTTTCGATGGGATGAATACGAAATATTATTCTTTATATGTATTTGCCCAAAGCCAAGAGCAAAGATAAGGCATTCATGCCTAGATAGGGCATTCAATTTTACATCATTTGGCAAGTCGGCAAATACCCTATACTACTTCGCGTAACGCAATTATTCATATAACGACTTTTCGTAATAAGGTGTTATACGGAAAGCGGTTCGATCCGAACCACTTTTTTAACAGCATTCGTGCCTGAGTGAAATTTTTATCAAAATCTTTCAAAATTTGCGGCTTGTGGGTTAAACAAAAAGGAAAACGAGACAGACAGACGGACATGCAAGTGTAGATCGATTCAGAAAGTAATACTGAATGAATCGGTACAATAAAAGTTGGGCACATCATGAATTCTTCTGAGTGTTGCATACATCCGTAGAAAACTTAACATGCCCTTGTATCATGAGTGCTGTAGGTTATAAAAAATTTTTACACGCGTATGCATTAATTTACTTTAATTTATTATTGTCTTATAATTGCTACATGTTAAATGTTTTTTAACTAAAAAAAAAAAAAATTTCACCTAACGAACGAGAGATTTTTTTTTTAAATGTCCATAAATAATCGCTTTTACGAGCTTTGAACTAAGATCGTACAGTAAAAGTCTGTAGCATACTTTTTGGCTAAATCTTAATATTAAGCTGAACGTAACTTTTTAAGTGATGATGAGAGACGGTATTGTACTCTTAATGCGATCCAAAACTTCGATTTCTACTTTTAAGAAAATTATTAAAAAGGCTTTTTATTCATTGTCTTACTTTTTCAATTATTGTTGTTGCTTTTGCTTTATATTGGATTTAGAAAATTAATTAAAATTTAAGAAATTACTTTTAAATAAAGAGACTCTTCTAAGTACAAATTTCCTATAAAGCGACCTCTATATCGTGATTGATGTTTGAGAACTAATTTTCGAGTGGATTATATTTACGATTTTGAAAACTCTAATAAAAACGATATTTATTTTGTTTAGAATAATGGAATGTGATATATGACGAAATAGAGACTCGGCAGTTTTCGTTTACCTTTCATCGGGTGCGGGTGATTTAATTTTTCACATAAGTTGACAAGAAGTGTTACAAGAGTTTTTTGAGCATTAAGTAATTTATTTAATTTTGCTTACTTTTTTTTTTATTTATTTGGTAAGTAAAATTTGTATTTATTTTTTTCTTTTTTTTCTTTTTATACAATATTTAATAAAAAACAAACTCAGTGTTTTATAAACACTTAAAAAATTCCTTGTAGGCAAAATAAATTCCTTAACATCTCAAGAACAATTAGCCCTTTGGAAAAGGGGAAATATTTTATAAGTGGTAGAAAGCTTAACTACATAAATTTCCTATAAAGCGACCTCTATCATGATTGAGGATCAGCTATTAACTTATAACTTCATCCTGATGACTTTTAGCTTTCAGATTTTTAACGCTTAGAATAATGCATAGCAATGCAAGCACTTGCCGTTGTACTGTCGCATATGGGTTGTTGAATTTTTTTGCCCACTCACTAAGAAGTGTTTAAAGGTTTTCTTAGAAAACAAGAGAAAAGCTAAGTTTTCTTAAGATTGGCTGATTTATTCGCTTCGTATTCGCGAAATTTTGCGGAGCTGAACAATTTACGTTTACCTGCGTGGCTGTGGTAAGCAGCAAGAACAAAGAAAGACAATCATTGAGAAAAACTTTGCTGTAAGACTTTGGGTGCCCTGCCCTTTGACTTTGCACAGTTGAAAAAAAAGTCAGACGGAATTAAATTCAAAAGTTCTTAGTAAAAGGCTCTGTGGAATTCGTTGTCATAAAACGGATGGCTCATAGTAATTTTATTTAAAGTAGTTTTTAAACCATCAAGCATAGTATGGCTTTTATAAAAAATACGACACAACTGGACAGATATCAATGCGTTCACGATATGATAGATTATTGATTAAAAAAAAAAAAAAAAAAATTAAAAAAAAAAGCCAATGACTTGAAATGAAAGCGCTCTCGCCCAATAACGCATTAGAAGTCATGAAAAAAATTTCAAGATAATTTTAATTATTTTTTATTTAGTTGTTTTATATTTTACTTCAATTCTTTTTTTTTTTCATTTTTATATATTTATATATAGTTTATTATATTAATGTTGTTGCAAAGAACTGCTTTAATACTTAAACTTTAAACTATTTTGTGTGTAAATCGCAGGCGTTACCATTATTTTATTGACTCGGGCAATAAATAGGAACAAATTATAAATTAATTTTCTAATTGTTACAAAATTAAAATAAAATCATTGCGGAGATTAATTAAAAAAAAAAAAAGTGTATATATATACATATATATATATATATATATATCAAAAATTAGAAATCTTTTATCAAAAAACATTCGTCTCTTTTTTATTAGCAAACATTTCATTTTGTATTTTTTTTTTTTTTTTGGTTCATGTTCGTTTTAATATAGAGATTCTACCATAACTTTTTTTTCTGCAATCGAAAATGGCCTGAGAATTTCCAATATTTAATTGCTAAGCAAAACTTTTTAATTTTTTAAAAACAAATATTAACTTTTATAAAAGAACAAAATCGAAATAAAAAAGAAAACATGAAAAGTTGTGCTGAAAAATCTCTAGACTCATTTTTAAATTATGCTCTAAGTTTTTGTTAAAAATAATATTTAAGTTATCTTTACGGCTAAAATTAAAGTTGTCCTGCTAAAGCACACGATCGACAACAAAATTTGGCATAATATTTATTTTTACAATAACGTCCGGCTACAATCAGCTTACAATTGGCAAAGTGCGCATTGTCGATACAGTCATTGCTGAGTGGAATTGTTGCTGCAAAAAAAAAAAATAAATAAATAAACAAATACAAGAAGAAGAACAATTTTTTTTTTCATTTATCGTGAGAGAATTTCAGAAATACCAAATATAACTTACATTCAATTGTAACAGTTTCTTCACTTATACTGTAACTAACATTGTTCGCTGCTTTGCAACCGTATTTACCGGAATCGGCAGCATTTGCATTAGTAATGATCAGGCGATAAGGTTCACCTAAATAAAATGCGCAAATATTTTTAACGCGTTATTCGATGTTCGTTTAACTAAGCTTTGCTTATACTTACTCTGTGTGGTTTGTATGCGTTCGCTGGTTACTATGGGCAAATCGTCTTTAATCCACGTTACATTAGGTTTAGGATAACCTTGAACTGCACAGCCAATGGTTATGGTTGAACCAGGAGTATAACTATTATTCGGATCCATACCAATTACAGCATTGGCTCGCACTTTTGTAAACATAAACAAGAGAAATGAAACAATAAGATCAATTGTATTAGAAATGCTTTCTCTCGCACAAGAAATTAAATTTCCACATTACTCTATATAAAGTAACCGCATGCTACCAAGCAAACACATGCCTGAAATACTTACCTGATGGTGTAATTGGCTCGTAAACGGCCGGCGGTGGTACAGCTACTGGCCGAGCAGGACGATATGGATAGGAAGGGCGTTGTGTAGTTGGCGCTTGGGCCGGATCAATAATATATTGTAGATATTGTGCTTCATCATTGCTGATAGCTCGCGCTGGTCCAAAAGCTTTCAAAGTTATTTTAATAGAGGCCGGTCTGGTACTGACACGGTTCCATACATGGCACGTATAAGGACCCAAATCGGACAATTGTACCGAATGGAAACGCAACGAGTAGTCGCGTGTAAATTCGTAGCGTTGATGTACTAGAGGCAAACGTTCGCGATTACGCCACCAATAAACCATGGGAGCTGGATGTCCACCAGCAGGGCATCGTACCACAGCCGGTCTATTTAAGGTAACAATTTGTGTAGCATTCTTATTACCGTAAACATAAGCAGGCATATTAACGGGCTCTGATTAGAGCATGTTTACAAATAGAGGGTGACATATACAAGCACATCGATAATAATAGCAACAACAACAACGGTTAGGATTCAAGCACAAGCATGAACATGCATTTATAATAAAGTGATAGAAAGAGAAAAGAAAAAAGTAAATCCAATTGAAATTTCCTAATCGCTTCATGTGTCATTTGCACTCGCGCCAGAGCGACTGTAACCAAAACTATTGAAAATATGATAGAAAAAAGTAAACCCTTTACCATACATTAGAAATATTTATGCCCTCGTTTCCTTAAAGATATTCCCTCTGCACTTAACATCCACGGTCTTCTCACAGCTTTTGTAGCAGACTAATTTTTGTAGTACTTTCTAGCTAAGAGATACATAAGAGATACATAATTGACTCCGAGAAGAAACAATGTTGTCATCTATTTGGACATAGTGAACATAGCAAGATTGTTTAAAATATACTATGATTTATCAAAAGTGTTCTTGTTCAACTGGTAAACTTGTGTCACTTGTATCTTCTATGCTTTATCAAAATGTCTTTAATTAGTAAAGAACAGTAAGTTTTGACTATATTTAAGTTCAGAGCTCCATTCGATAGGCGCTTAACCCTATGATTCTCTATGTTGTTGATTTCGTAAAACTGACAAAAGCTGTCGATTTGCCCACAATTCTGAGCTAACTTTAGAAATATATCTTTTGTAAAGGAATCGTAATCCAAAACTGATACATTATTTTCTTTTGTTTTCTTAAAATTAAAAAATAAGTTAATACAGAACGATCTCTTCTGTGGTGCAGACCAACTAGACGTTCTTACTAATGTTAGTGTAAAACATAACGAAAAGTAAGCCTTAACCTCAAAATGCGGAATGAAAAATGACTTGGAAACCAACCTGTTACTTGTAGTTCAATTTCACGACGAACCGGTTCACCCAATCCGTTACTAGCTACGCATACATATGAACCGCTATCTGTTTGTCGCACTTGTACAATAGTCAAATCACCAGTCGATGTTAGAACATAACGTCCATGATGAGTATCAATCTAGGAAGAAGTATAAAAATAAAAAATGTACATTAATTTAAAGTAATATTTTCAACAACAATTTCCTAACCAACCAAAATATTATTGAGGAACCAAGTAACATTTGGAGCCGGATTTCCCAATGCAAAGCAGCGTAAAACAGCAATACCACCCACGGGAGTTTTAACATCCAACTCATGTTTGTTTTTGGGCTCCAAGGAGACCTTAACTTCCCCTGGGTAAATAACGGCGGGAGTAGCAGTAGTGGGAAAGGGAGTTGTGCGTACAGTGGGCGGTGTAGGACGTACGCACACAAAACTGCAACCATTAGCACAACATTTATTATCTGCCCGACAGTCGGCATCGTCATAGCATTCACGTGAACAGCTGCCACCAGTTGCGGTGAGTATTGGACATTCTCCAGATTTTGTTATCGCCCTACAAACAGGCAAAAATTGGCCTGATCGAGAAGGTGATATTTCAATAGCGCACTTTTGACCTTCGGGGCAAGGATGCTCTGCACAAGGATTTACGCATTCGCACCGCTGACATTGATCATCGACAGCGACGCGGCGCAGGCCATATGGACATCTCAAAGTATGACATTCAGCATCATATTCTTCGCAGGGTGTTGGGAAAACTTCGTTCGTTGCTTCGTGTTCGGTTACAGGCGGCGGAGGCGGTGCTAACTCTCCTATACCCAAGAAAAGGAGCAAAAAGAATCAGGAAAAAGCGTTAATGCTTTTTATGTAAAAAAATATGTATAGTTACTTTATGCGTTAAGCTTTCTTGAACCAACAAAAAGATAATTTTAATTGTATAACAATATATAGAAACGTGCATTCAACAGCTTTGGTGCATATGATATTGTAAAGTGCTTTAAAGTGCTCGTGTGCATGTGATTAAAATGCTAGATGTATGAGGAAAAATGAGGAGTGCAATGTAAACAACAGTGCTGGATTTATTTAATTTTTTTAAACCATAAAAGCTTTGGGTTCTCGGACTGGGCTTACTTGCACAGAAATCATAACAAGACTCAAAAGTACGGAAATTATTTTGATTGCCCGCGCAACCCGAATATATGAAGGCCACGCAAGTGCCACGAGCATCGTCATAATACCAACGTCGCTCGTTAACCGATGGTCCCAAGCAACGGCCAATGTCCACGTTCTGTTTGCAGATATCTGAACTCAACATAGAATGGCACAGGTATGAATGAGGTCAGTTGTGAATAGAATTGACTTATTTACCTTTATGAGCTGTAGGAGAAGTAGGTTCTTGACCCATGATACACACCGATTCACATTCGGCGCGATCCTCAAAGCGATTGCCCGTGCCTTGACAACCGCCGTAAGTAAACGGTTCACAAGTACGTGTAATCTTATTGAAATAATATCGCGTCTGCCACTGACGGCAAGGGCCAGTCATAACGTCCTCATTACAGACGTCTAAGCAAAACTTCCTTTATTAATATCCTAACAATTCACCATAATAAAACTACAAACAAAATGATAACCTTACCCACACCCTTAAAATCGCCACATTGCCGCTCGCACTGTTCTCTGGTTTGGAAACGGTTACCATTGCCGCCACAACCGGTATATGTGAAAGCTACACAAGTCATTGATTCGCTGTCGTAGTACCAAGCGGTGGTTTGATTGTCACATTCACCTGCTTCAAGAGGTAGATCACAAACTGAATACACCTATAAAAGACATACAATAATCTACGGCTTTGATTCATAACTTTCTCCAACACTTACGGGAGCTGGTGGCCGCTCACCGCAGAAGTCGTCGCATTCTTGCTCAGTTTTGAAATTGTTACGATTTGGCCGACAGCCGGAAAATTCGAATTCAATACATTTTCCACTTTGCTGGTCAAAGTGCCACCTAATGATGCTATCGTTACAATTACCACGTAATGGCGGCAAACTGCAGGTCGGTTGAGCGGGGAAACATTCTGATTCACATTCATCTTCACTTACGAAATTATTCGCATTGCCTTCGCATTCAGTATAGGTAAATTCTTCACAAACTCCATCTCCACTATTGTAGTACCAACGGGTTTGATAACCGAGACAATTCCCAGAAGCAGCTGGTAAGAAACACTTGGAAGACTCCTGCGAAGTTTCGCCACTGTATTCACGTTCCGATGAAGGTGAAATACAACGTTGTTGGCATTCCACTTCATTAGTAAACCGATTATCGTTGCCGCCACAGCCGCCGTAATAAAACTGGCGACATATGCCTTGGTCATAATCATAATACCAAACTAACGTATAATTTGCACAATCACCCACTTCAGGGTTCTGTTCACAAATCTCTCCTGATGGTGGTGGTCGTTCTGGTTGAGGTTGAGGTGGTGTTACAGGAGTTTTAGGTTCAACAACAGGTGGCTCTTGGCACCGCTGTTTACACGCATCTTCAGTTGAGAACTTGTTCTCGTTACCACCGCAACCACCATAATAAAATTGACGGCAACGTTGATCGTTGACATCATAGTACCACATGGGTTCAAAATTTCTGCAATCGCCAACCTCCGCAGCAATTTCACATACATTTTTGGCTAAATTTTAAACAGAAACCTATATATAATCTTATTCCCACTATTCATTAAGTGTAGTTGCAACGCTACGATTTCAATTTTGAAAATCTTACCGACATCTTTAGGACAATGATCCTCGCAAGATTGCAATGAAGGAAAGTTATTTTTATTGCCACCACAACCAGTATAGTAGAAAGGCATGCATTTCTTGTCAGTTTCAGAATAATACCAACGCGGTTGCTTTTCACTACAATCACCTGTTTGCTTGGGAAGCGAGCAATAATCTAGATATATGTAAGGGTTACGTATGTGTCGATGGATGGGGTTCATAAGCAAGCAATGAACAGCAAGCAAGAAATATCAATCGTATAAATATTAGGCAAAAGTTTTTCGTGCATTCCCAATTGTATAAAAAAAAAGAAAATTTGATTCATTATACTATCACCAACTAAAAAAGCTTTATCAATATTATCATTAACAAACCATTCCCCTGAGACTAACAAATCAATACTATGCAAGCATATAGGCAATTATGTCGAGCATTATAATAACAAAATATAATAGACAAACCTTTATGAATTCCCGGCTGACGACAATGATAGCTGCAAGCATGTTCCGTAGGATAATTGTTTTTATTGCCTTTACAACCCCCGTAGGTAAACGGCCGACAAAAATCTGTCTGATTATCGTAGTACCAACGTTCAAAGTTACCTTCACAAGGTCCTTCATCCACGGGTTGTTCGCAAGGAGCTACAAAATATTCATCACAATATAAATTATTTTCTGCTCTACTTAAATTTCAACTTACGTAAGCTTTCGCTAACGGCGCACAAAGTCTGGCATTCTTCTTTGCTGTCAAAACGGTTGTTTGTACCATAACATCCTCCATAATTAAATTCCTCACAACGTTCAAGCTCTGCATTGAAATACCATTTTTTATTGTAACCCGTGCACGGTCCTGAACTCTTAGGCAAGAAACAAGCTTCTTTCCCAGTATAATCTTGGCAAGTTTGTTTACAATCGTCCTCAGTGTCGAAACGATTCCCGTTGCCATCACAACCACCGTACCAGAATCTGGCGCAAGCACCATAAGAAGTATCAAAGAAATATTTAATAGTATAATTAGTGCAAGGCCCACTCTCTTTGGACAAGCCACAAGATTTTTGCGCTGGTTCTTTGACATTCTCACATCCCTCGAATTTTTCACCTTGGGCAGATGTAATACCGTCAGGGCAGCAGCCAAACTTACTTTCCACACAAGAGCAACCCTCATTGTCAGGTCCTTTAGCTGGAGTTTTTTCATCTGGACAACATTTAAATTCAGTCTGTGAACAATGACAGCCGTAGTGATGTGGTCCTTGAGCGATTGTAATCCCGTCCGGGCAACAACCAAATTGAAGAGTATGGCACGCACAGCCTTCGAACTTTGGTCCCCTAGCTGCTGTGAGCTTGTTTGGGCAACAACCGAATTGAGTCTGTTCACAATTACAACCCTCATAGTTTGGACCTCGTGCTGAAGTTTGATTGTCGTGACAACAACCATAGGGTGAATACTGACATTCGCAATTCTCAAAGTTAGGACCATGTGCGCTGTTAATATTGTCAGGACAGCAGCCGTACGTAGAAGCTAAGCAACATCCTTCACCCATAGGACCATGGGCCGGTGTCTCGTTATCAGGACAGCAACCGAATGGCTCGTAAGTGCACCGTGGACAACCTTCATCATTCGGACCTGAAGCCGGAGTTCGGCCATCTCTGCAACAACCATATATACTCTGCCTGCAATCTCCTTTATCACAACCAGCAAAGTTTACACCAGTAGCATTTGTTTGACCATCAGGGCAGCACCCGAATTCATTAAACGAACAAGAAGGTACAACATCTGGATGCATCTCCCCGTCAGTCGTCTCAGTAATTTCAGAACTGGGCAAATCCGTAACATCGGTGGAAGGTTCTTCGCTGGCAATTTCTTCAGTAATTGGTTCTTCGGTTGTTGTTGTCGGCGGTAGGGTAGTTGGTTCTGGACATCCTTCATTATCCTCACCTTCGGCTGGTGTAAATTTATCGGGACAGCAACCGAATAATGTCTCAGCACATTGCGATTTTGGACAGCCTTCAAAGTTTTTACCTCCAGCAGGTGACACACCATCGTGACAGCAGCCAAACTCAGCTTCGATGCAAGTCTTAGGAATCGGGCAACCCTCATCAAACGGTCCTTTTGCCTTTGTTTTAAGGTCGGGACAGCAACCGTATGGGCTCTTTTCACAAGTCTTCGGCTTACATTTTTTAGGCTTAGCCGGTTTTGTGACAATCGCTTCCAAAGTGTAAGCTGTACTTTTTTCAACCTCCTCCTCGGTACTCCATATATCAACAGTACTGGACTCATAAGCTGATGTGGAACTATCGGTATAGTCAGTAGAAGCGTCTGTAGTTGAAGCATCAGAAATGTTACTACTGGAATCAGTAGTGTCACTTTCAGTAGAACCGACTTCTGTTGTTTCCATACTTTCAGTAGTTTCCTCAGTTGTAGAAGATGCTTCCGTTGTAAAGTCTGAAATGGTGGAAGAATCAGTAGACTCAGTTGAAGTAAAGGAGTCTGTGGACGATGTTTCAGCGCTGGGCACTGACGAATCTGTGGATTCTGTTAGGTCTGAACTCTCTGTAGTTATATCTGTTGTTTCCGTAGAAGATTTCGTTGTGCTATCCCCTGTTGAAGAAGTAAGGGTGCTTATATCTGTGGAAGCTTCCGAGGTAAATTCCGTAGATAATGAAATGTCTGTAGAAGCAGCAAGTTCCGTAGAGGATTCAGTTGTTACGTCGGTAGAGCTGCTAGTATCTGTTGACTCTGAACTAATACTTGTTTCAGTCGAAGATTCTGAAGTAAACTCTGTCGACACTGAAGAGTCAGTGGAACTCTCAGTGGTTGACCCGATAGAAAATTCTGATGTCGATTCTGTAGATGGCGAAGATTCTGAAAATGTCGAAGAGTCTGTAGACGCTGAAGAGTCTGTAGACGCTGAAGAGTCTGTAGACGCTGAAGAATCTGTAGACGCTGAAGAGTCTGTGGACATCGAAGAGTCTGTAGATACCGAAGAGTCTGTGGACACCGAAGAGTCCGTAGATACTGAAGGTTCTGTAGACGCCGAAGATTCTGTTGAAGCTTCCGTTGTGGATTCCGTAGATAACGTTGTATCTGTAGAAGTAGATTCAGTGGACTCAGTCGAGCTCTCCGACGTAGATTCGGTAGAGTCAGTGGAATATTCGGGTGTTGATTCAGTAGAGATTGATGATTCTGTCGACGCTTCTGTTGAATCTGTAGAGGACTCTGATCTTCCATCAGTGGAGAGTGAATTTTCTGTTGAACTGTCTGTTGAACTGTCTGTTGAACCGTCTGTTGAACTTTCCGTGTACGCTTCTGTTGATTTAGTTATGTCTGTAGACGACTCTGAAAATTCGCTAGAGCTTTCTGGCGTAGTCGAAATTTCTAAAGTTGATTCAGTGGTTCTGTCTGTTGAGTACTCGGAAGTTGAAGCAGAAACGTCAGTAGAGGAGCCTGAAGTCAAATCGGTCGTATGTAAACTTTCCGTCGAACTTTGCGTAGCTAGTTCTGTTGAAGCTGATGTATCTGTAGAGACGTCGGATGTGTCTGCTGTGGTATCGGCGGACACAGTAGTACCAGTGGAAGAGCCTATGTCTGTAGAGGTGTCTGATATCAAATCTGTAGATATTGAATCTACAGTGGAACTTTCAACTGTTGATTCTGTTGAAAATGTGGATGTAGGCTCCGAAGTAGTGGTACTACCAGTGTATGCAGTCACCTCATCGCTGGAACTTGTAAAGTCAGTCTCACCACTACCTTCAGTTACAAGAGTGGTATCATCAACTTCATCACCTGAACCCTCTGGTGTTGTCAAGGTTGAGTCGCCTTCGCCTGTTGGTTCATCGGATGGAGCATCGCTTAACATGAGCTCATCGGTTATGAGAGAAGAAACAGTTGTAATTTCTTGATCCAAATCAATGCCATCAGCAATCTTAAGATCTTCGCTCATTTTATCTGTCACAACTTCGACTTCGTCCTCACCTCCTTCTCCTTCTTCGTCTTCGTCACATTCATCTTCTTCATCTTCTTCATCTTCTTCATCCTCTCGTACAGGCTCGGCTGTGCTGTCTACTGGCATTACTTCATCTTCGGTGCACGCCTGAACATTACATTTTTCTGATAAGGATTCTATTTTTGTTTCATCACAATTCGTTGATTTCGTACCGTTGGCCAAACATAATACTTCTCGTTGTCGTTCGCCACCCCCACATAATTTGCTACAAGGGCCCCATGGACCTGTAAACCATTGGCCAGGGCATTCCTTTTCCTCTCCATCACATTCCTGTTCAGAATCAGGTTTGGTGGTATTATCACATTGCGATTCGTCCACAATTTTCGTGATACTTTGTCCGTCATATTCACCGCATAAAACTATACGCGATTGCATACCTTTACCACAAGCTGCGGAGCATTTACTCCATTCTGAAGTAAACCATTGAACTTGACATTTTTTCGAGTCGCAGGGTCTGGAAAGAAGAGGAACTTCCGGGGCACAAAATTCTTCTGGATAAACTTTTCCAGCCTTCGAAGCACAAATGGCAAAGCGTGTCTCTGTTGTTTGCCCGCAATCACTACACTGTATAAAAAAACAAAATTTACTAAAGTGGAAGAAAATTGAGCGACAAGTGTTAACCTACACCGCTCCATTCAGAAATAATCCAATCAACCCCCTCGCATGGTGCTAATGTGCAAGATTTTTCGGTTTCTGGTTTGTTTTCAACGCAATCCTCGTCACTTAAAACCCTCTTGCGACCATTTTCTTCGATAAAGCAAGTAACTTTTCTTTTCTGAGTACCTTCACCACACAATTTATCGCACTACGGAACAATCAAGGAAAAATATCCAACTGCTTTCATTTGTTTGGTTATCTCTTCCTTTTTTTACACTTACCGGGCTCCAAGGACCCAAGTGATATTTGGGACAGTTTTTAACGTCACGATTGCATTCTTGTTGAGTCGCGGGTTTATTTCCTACTTCCTCGAGGCAAATTGTATCCTCTTCTACAGTAATTTCACCCCTCGACGAGGCTCTTTCGCACGTTACGTTACGGTTTTGTATACCATCAGAACCACAACCTTCTGAACATTTACCCCATTCGCTGCTGACCCATTGAGGAGGGCAAGGGTCAATAGCACACTCTTGAATTTCTGCTGGCTTAGCTTCTTGATCACATAAACTGGGGTCAACTTGCTCCAAGTTGAGCCGATTATTGCAGGTAACGACCCGCGTTTGCGTGCCTCCACCACATGTTACGCTACACGATCCGTACTCCATATGAGTCCAAGTATAAACATCTGGTGTACTGCGACTTACTGTGGTCGGAATACTGTATTCATAATCAATGCTGACATTTTTATCTTGAACAAGCATTACTATATAGATTGACTCTGTAATTGGACCGTGACAAGTCAGTTGATCGGGCGCAGCGAAACCTGTAGGTTTTCTTTGATAATTCCACCAAGATCCAGCAAAAAACATGGGACGAGGAAAATCAATTCGCCAATTCCCATTTAAATAATAATGACTGCTGAGGTTGCGGCAAGCTATATAATTATTGGAAGGAGCGGTTTCCATTACGCGTATATTAGTGGCTCCCATTGGTATTAAAAGTATATCATTGTAACCAGCTGAGAGATTGTTTATAGTAAATTTATCGCCAACCGTCTTACAAGTGCTACCGTCACCTCCGCACTTACGGCATTTATCTTCTCTGGCATCCGAACCCAACATCATGTCACAACCTACTGACTGACATTGACCATCCACACAAACATCTAGACTCTGATCATTGCAACGGGTACCGTCAATAACTTTGGCTTTGTGAACATAATAAAAACGCTCGCCTTTGGGCATGCAACTCAATTGACATGGATTCGGCGAACCCATATATGGGACCCATTCGTAATAGATTCCATCGAAAGGAACATGATTAAAACGTGAACATTGCTGAGCTCTAAAATCCGGTTCTTCCTCGGGACAATCTTGAGTATTACAAGAGAAATATTTACGATTCCCTCCTGAACATAAAGGAGCGCCGCTTGGTCTGCAATTAAATAAAACGACCGTGAGGGGTAACAAAGCCGCTAAGAAGTTAAACTTACGCCAATCTACGGCATTCGCGCATTTGATACGAGACACCACCACCGCAGGAGCGCGAGCATTCCGAAGGTGAACTCCACTCAGTCCATTCGTACGGATCGTCACCTTCTCCACCAGGTACAATATAACTGGCAGATAAATACATTTTGGCACCATTCTGTCTTTTTGACCTTGCACCGTACTGAGAATAAAAACGAATGAAGCGTAGGAGTCAGTTATTTCTTAAGACGGTTTTGTTAATTATGACACATTAAAGACTTACAAAACGTGATTGCGCATGCTGAACACATAGAAGTATAATTAGTAATATCAAAGGCGGTATTCTGTTGAGAAAAAGAGGAAGCAAAAAGGAAAATCAGAATTTCACTTAAGCAAAGACCAAAACAAAATGCACTATTTATTTGCGCGACTAAAGCATTGTCGCTGCAGAATTGTCGAGATATTTCCCCGACAGACCTAAGTAGTAAAGTGATTAAAATGAACAAAATTTTGCTCTTTAGTGTAAATAATATTCTGAGAATTCAGATGCGCCTGAAAGGCTCAACCTAGTAAAATTATCTTTAATAACATTTCTCTGGCCGAATTTTGCAATGTTTAAATAATAGATTAAAAAGATACACGCCAACTATTAAATTAATTTCGAGAAAATGTTAGTGACTTTCGCAGAGATTTTCGATTAAAATATTAAAGAGGAAAGAAGAAAAATGATATTATACATCTAACAACATATGTGTATGTATGTCTACATAAATATGTATATATACATATACATATAAACATTTAGAATTTAAAACATCTTAATTTGCAACTGTCATGATCAGCAGCAATGAGAACACTTGATAATATTAAAATTATATCAATTTCCTTTTCACATATGTTTGATTTGTTTGACGGTGTTTTTGATCATTTATAGAGAAATTTTTTTTATTTGTAAACTAAGCTGTCTGTATCTAGTCTAGATTCTTACACACATCTGTAGAATATTTTTTATATCTGATGTGTTAAGTCAACTTTCATGTAAATAAACACTCAAACGAATGATTTTAGCTTATATTACAAACTACTGTCACGATGGCAGACAAACAAAACAATTTCTAATAAAATGAATATGTGAAAATTATAAAAGTTCTACATGTATGTAATAAAACAGTAGCGAAAACATTTTATATATAAATATAAAAAATGACGGAAATAATTTTATGAGCGTAAAAGAATTTATGCCTAAGGTATGTTTAATATGAAAATGCATAGTTGGACAAAGTCGATTTCTAAATCCTCTAAACCATCTCGGCTAATGCAATTCTTTATATATTTTTGTCATTAAATATTATCCTTTGCCGCCAAATGAAGATTTGCTGGTCGTGCAGTTAAAAAACTGATTCGATTTCAGTAAAGTTTTGTATATTCATTTAGCATGCATCATCGACACTAAAAAATTCTTTTCCAATAATTACTTTCTTTAAATAGATCGATATATGATCCGATTAAATACGTTTTCTCAGTATCGGTACAAGGTTAAAGCGTGTCAACGTGTTAAACTTTGCCAATATATGTCAAACATAACAACACTTGGACGGACGGACATCCTTAAGTCAGACTAAATATCTATTTTATATAATGCATATATATCAATGTCCACGAATGTACTATATACATACTATATATATTTAGCATATATATATACATATATAGACATGTATTTCATATATACATATAAATCTATTCCAAACCCATTTAAGGGTTGGTACAACCGGAAAAACGCATGGATCTCTCAATAGTCATTCGGCATCTTGACGCTATCCTGCAAACACAATACATGTTATGTTATATAACTTGAAGGCTTGTAGATATAAATGCGTAAGATTTACAACAAGTTTTTTTTATGTGTAACAGAAAAAAGTTAACTGAAGTGCAGTGAAAAAAAAGTCCGAAAATTAATTGCCATCTATTAAACTATCAACCGATGATTAGACGTAAGAGAAAGAAGAGAAGAACAGGAGATTATGATAGTGTAAATATATATACATATGTACGTGTGTGTGTTTGTGTGTGTTTATATGTCAATATGTTTGTTTATGTCCGCATATATATATATATAAATATATATTGACTGTATGGCTTCTCTTATTCTTGCAGTTGCCTTTGTAAAGCCAAGTGCAACTATCACTTGACCAGTGATGCATAATTTTCTGTCTTATTGAATTTCTTGTTTGATTTGGTACGGTTTTGTCAAGAGCTTTAGGTCAAGTGTTTTCATTTAGAGCAACAATGGCATCATCAACAACAACAACAACGATAGCAACAACAATAGCAACAACAATAATAAACATACATAAAGAAAGGAAGAGACAGAGAGAGAGAGAGAGAGGGAGAGAGAGAGAGAGTGACACGGAGAGAGATTGAGTGCGGCCAAGAAGAAAATTAAAATTAAAATCTATGAAGAATAACAACAAAAACAAATACACAATCCTAAGAAGTTCATGAAAGAAATAATTAAAAAATATATATCAGCGGATTCTTAGTAAATATGCATGGAATAGCAACAAAAACAACAACATCAATAACAACAATAATTATAATAATAATAATAATAAAAACAATATCAACAATCATAATATAAGTTTTATAGTGATGTTGCTGTTAATTTAAGCCGTCATTATCTTAAGCAAAATCAGTATAAAGAAGAATAACAATAACATGATTATCTTAAGCGTTATAGTGTGATTTGTTGTTGTTGTTTTTATTCTTGTTGTTGCCGTTATGATGCTGATGTTGTTGATGATGATGACAGTTTGAATTAACGGTTCATATTTTAGGCATAGCATATAAAAGACCGACAAACTGTCGTCATATACCACAAGATGTGAATGTTCTATCAATAATAATAATAACAATAACAACAAAAACAATGATAATAAGGAAAACGAAAAAGAAAAAAAAAAAAAAATGAAATAAATAAAAAAAAAAAGGAAAAAAAATCACACAAAATATTAAAATGATTGTAGACATAAAGACGCCGTAGATAAATTTGTATATTTTGCTAACAAACATATACATATATGTATGTGTATATAATATATATACACATATATGTACATATTTGAAACAAAAGCAAATTTCTTCACTTACGACTTTCATATATACATACATCTAATATTTTCCTGTTCTTTTGCCAGTTTATACAAATATACAATATACATATATATATTTATATATATATATGTATATATTCACGAATATGCGATATGTTGAATTTGTGAAATTTTTGGTATTTTGCCAAATTCATTTTGTCACTCTTTCCTAGCTAGCTAGCTAGCATGTATGGCGTATAGCCGTATGCGTGCCTTTTGTATATATATGTATGTATGTATGTTATAAATGACATAACAAGAGAAAATCGCGCAGCACGCGACTTTAAATGCCAATAAGTGTAACCGGGGAAATAGTAATGAAATAACGGTGCTAACATAGCACGTTACACTTTGACGCCTTAGTACAGCAGGCAGTCTGGCAAAGGAAAGCAAGCATAACGGGCATCGAAGAGACACGAGATCTATAATTCAGCGCAAAAAATGAATGAATGAATGAATGACTGAATGAATGTTTACCACATGAACTAAGCCTTCTTGTCTTCTTGTTTTCTTTTATTTTTAGTAAAGGATACCTATTGTTTTTACAAAAACCATTGCAATACAAACATACATAAGCATAATACATGCATATATACACACTTATCAGAATAAACACAGTCATTATGAAAGCCAAGAAAATGTTGTGTGCGTATGTTAATCAGCGTATCAGTCACAGCAAGAGCAGTAGTAGCAGCAGTAGTCTCAGCAGCAGCAGCAGCAGCACCAGTAGTAGCATCAGTTGTAGTAGCTGCGAGATTATTATTTACCATAAACATGCATGAATGGATAAAAATTACTACAAAATATTTATGCCAAGACTCATGAAGAGACGACAACACACATTCATGTTAACGATAACAAATTTAAATGTGATTACTGTATTTTATTTATGCGATTTCTATATAGCATAGATATTATATATACATATATATAGATTGAATTTAGACTAAAAATACTTTATATTTACTTTAGAAGGGCTATAAATTCAGAAACGAAGGCAAAGTCTTTCGATTTTCTAATCTCTTTCGAAATGGTATTGCCTTTTTTTAAGCGAGCACACACACAAACGAACACACGCATGTTACCGTATGCACATACATACATAAACGTAGATACTTATAGGCAGGCATCCATATGTGTTGATGTCATTGTGACACTTGAAATGGGTCACATTACGTTATTATAAATATTCTATTGCTGTTTTGTTGTTGTTATTGTGTAGGCAAGAAAAACATTCGAGCAATCATAATGTTGTTGTAGTCAGTTGCCAAAAATAGTATAGTAAACAAATAATTCCAAAAATGAATAATATCAACATTTTCTCTTTTTTTTTTTTTTTTTTTTTTTTTTTTTTCTTTTGTTTGCGTACATTTTTCTCATTACTCTTACGAAATAAATTAGTTTTCGCAGCGGGTGTTGTTTTTTTTTTTTT